TTAGTGCGTGGGCAGCCACGGCCTGCGTGGGCCAGGACCCGATCGTCCAGGCGGAGGTGAAGGCGAGGCCCCGCCCGTCCCAGGACAGGACAGACCTGGTCCTCGAGGGGTGTCGCTCTGCACCTGAGCTGGCCACTGAGGACATGTCCCCGCGGCACTTTGGGGATCTGAAGCCTCGGAGTGTGGGGATCCCCTGCCCCTGGGAGCTCCAGACCATTCGCTGCTCTGGGGTTGAGGCCCGTGGGTCCCAGATGTCGGGAGTCGGCAACAGTGAGGTGCACCTCTGTGAAGCTGCACGTGCGTGGACGTGCACGGGCGTGAGGTCATGGGTCCGGGTGTCCGGGACCGCGGCAGCGAGAGCAGGCCATGCTGCTTCGTGGCTGGAGAAAGGGGGCGCAGCGCAGGAAGGACCCCAGGACCAGCCCACCTGCCCGGAGAGAGGGCGGGTTGGTCTGCGCTGCGAGCTCCTCACCAGGCTCTTGATTCGCTTTTGGAAATGTTTTCGCTGGGAGCTGGGCCCGGATTCCCTGGGCAGCGCACCGCAATGTTGGCTCCCACTGCACGGCATCCGCCCTCCCGCTCCCCCTGAAGAGCTACCTGGCCTGTCCCTCCCATCGGCCTCCGGGGCCTCGAAACACCCTTTAGCCTTTTTGACCCAGTTTCCTCTTTGCCTGCTTTGGCCTCGTTGCTCCTTTCAGCAGGGCATGCTCCCCCCTCGCCCTCCTTCACAGATGAAAACCCTGAAGCCCAGCGGAGCAGTAATTTACCTGAGGCCACACAGCTACCAGTGGGCAGAGACCCTGGGAGCTTAAAGGAGAGTGAGGTTGGCCCCAGCCGGTTTGGCTCCGTGGATAGAGCCCGCGGACTGAAGCGTCCTGCGTTTGATTGCCTTCCAGGGCATCTACCTAGATTGCAGGCTCAATCCCAGGCCCTGGTGGTGGTGGTGGGGCCCTACGGGAGGCAGCCAATCCATGCGGTTCTCTGTCTCTCCCCTTCCCTTCCACTCCCTCTAAAAAATCAATGGAAATACCCTCAAGTGAGGATTAACAGCAACAACAAGCTAGGCTGGAATTCACTTCCTAGGTGCTGGTATCACTGCTGTCCCGGTAGCTACTCCTGCTCATACAGGAAGGCAGTACTGAGACTCCAGGGCGCCACCCTCAGGCTGGGTTCTTGCTTTAAAGACCAGACATACAAGAATGCTCTCCCCTTTGCCCTGGAGTTTCCAGCTCTAAATCGGCAGGAAGGAGGCTGCCTTCCCTGTCACACAGGGACAAAGAGCAGCTTCAAAGTCAGTCAGGGGCCCTGGCCCCAGCCCAGGTGGCTCGGTTGGTTGGAGCACCCTCCTGCACACCGAAAGGTTGGTTTAGGTTTTGCGGAGCGGAGGGAGGGGGCTTGTACAGGAGGCAACTGATGTTTCTTTCCTCTCTCCAAAATCAATAAACATATCCTCGGCTGAGGAGCTGGAAGCTCTTGGGGCTAGGGGATGGGGGTGATTAGACTCAGAGTCTTGGATCTTGTGGGGGCACAGGTCAGCTCAGAATGGGCCCCTCATGTGAGGCACAAGGAGCAGATAGACACCAGCAGCTTAGCTGTGTGACTTGGTGACCTTGGGCAAGCCCTGACCTTCTCTGGGGCTTAGGCTTCTTTGCAAAATGAGGACCAAATAGTGCTCTTTCAGGTACCTTCTAGTTAGAGTCTGAGCTGTGAAAATCAGAAAAGTCGGCACCGAGAAGCCATTTCCAGTTCCAGACGGCAGCTGCCTGCCTGCCTCCACTTGCTTCCTGGGGAGCTGGCAGTCGTGTTTGACAGATCGCGCGTGTGCACCCCACGTTGCTTCGGGACCCCTGGCTCTTTCTCAGATCAATCCCAGACAGTGGCCTCTCTCCTTGAGCTGCCCCCCAGCTCCCACCAGCCTCCTCAAAGGCCAGGAAGGTATTTTTCCCTCCATCACACTGAGAGAACGTCCATAGTAATTTGTCCGTTGAGCAGGTAGTGCTGTGAGAATCAGGGAGGTCACGTGGCTTCCTCAAGGTCATGGGGTCAGGCCACAATTAGATGCATGTTCTGATTGCCTCCTAGGTAATGCCACCTGGAGGTCTGCTGGGGCAGAGGCAGAGATTGCCTTAGGTGTTCTCTCCAGAGACGACGAGGCTGCTGTTCCATGGCCAGTGGGCAGTAAGGTCCCCCACCCTGGAGCCCAGCTCTCACTTCCAGCTGATTACAGGCTGTGGCAGAGTCCATAACCTCCCCAATTAGTCAGGGGCCAGGCCCAAGGCCTCTCTGATAACCTGAGCTCCAGTGGCAGCCGCCATGGGGCCAGCTTATCTGGCCTCTCTTATCCTCCCCCTCCCCCCACATACTCAAAGAGTTGCCCTGGCTGTGAGCAGATGAATAACCAGATTGTCCTGCAAGCTCAGCCGGCAAGTCCAGCCCTACACCCACCACTTTCCCTGACTGGAGGAGGCCACAGCTGTTTTGCACCCCGTGGAGGGAAAGGGCTGAGCCAGGGAGGACTCCTGACTCCAAGTTCCCTGCAGGGTTGGAGAGAGCCCCTGGCTCTCCATCTTGGCCCCATCCAATTGCCATAGGGTGGGTTCTCAGGGGCTCACCCTCCCAGAGCTCC